GAACACATATTTAATAACATATCCATACAATTCTAATTCAAGAAATGTAAACACTATTTCGTTAGTGTGACAAAATGCTTTTCCCATATGACGTTACTTTATCAAATAAGGCCTGAATATGTCTCTTCGGACGTCTGAGGTTCTCTTGGAAATAAAAAAAAAAAAAAAAAAAAACGAATAATTTAGAATTTGCAAATTTGATTTTGGGAAGAGTATTCAAAAATTAAAGCCCAAAATACTGAAATGACTAGTTCACTGTAAAATAGCCCGGTCATTCATTAGTCAAAGGATAATTCAAAGATTTCAAAAGCAAAACCTTACTTTTTGATAGAAGGAGGAACTCAGGTTTTGAACACAATCAAAAGAGCCTATAAAGACAGCCTAAGGACCAACAAAACGTCTTGGTTCCTCTTTTTTTTGTTTTGGCTGTTTATCAAAAGACGAACAAATATCTTTTGTTCTCTTATTAATATTGATGAAAATCGTTATTCAAAAAAGAAAATCAAATTCTACTTTGCATCACTAATTATGAATGTCAAGCTATTTGAAGAAAACCAATAAATCAATCCTTCTATCTCACATCAGCTTTGACCACACAAGATAGACTTTTCCGATAAAATTTTATGAAGCGTCTTAAAACTTGTTCTATGAAAAAGGGGAAGCACAATGCTCTGAGAAAATCTGTCTGTTATTCTGACTATAGGGCCCAGTTCTGGCTTTGCCTTCACTGTTTTGGATATTAAGCCAGGTTCTCAGAAGAAGTCTAACATAATCCCCTGTTTAATTCTAGCCAACTAGACTCACCTATGTGAAATTCTTCTAAAGATCAATTTAACTTCGCATAATATTCTGTCTAAACTGCCTTAAAGCTTCAGTTGTTTTCTATGTTTCCTTTCTTTATTAGCCACTATCCTGAGAACAACAACTTTCCTTTCTTCCTTATTCTTTGACATGAGAATCTCTCTTAAAGAAAGGAAATTGTTTTTGACATGGTGTTTTAGATTATTGGAAAGCAAGAGTGAAGGGGATCATGTTAGCTCATAGCAAAAATATGTATAATTTTTAGTTAATCTCTCTCTCTTTCCCCCATCCCCATGTGTGTACATGTATGTCTTTCTCTCCTAGTATTCGTTTCTTTCTAATTTCCACACACATTCATCAATACATACTCAAAAACAATATTTCTAGCATACTGTATATATTGTGTGAGAAAGAAGAGGTATGTGATAAATGAGAATCTCTCTGTTATCGACTGAATGTTTGTGACCTTTCCCCAAAATCATTTGTTGAAGCTCTAATCCCAGAGTGAATGTATTTGGAACCTCTAAGGAAGTGAGTAAGGTTAAATGAGGTCACAAGTATAGAGCCCTAATTCGATAGAATTAGTGTCTTTAGCCTGGTCCAAAGGTAGTGAGTTATCTCAATTGATTTTTCACAGTTATAGATCAAACTTTATTGTTCTACTCTTTTCCCACTTCTCACTACTGCACTTGACTATTCATAAAAAAAAAAAAAGAATTAGAGTCTTTATAAGCAGTGACAACAGAGAGCTTTCTCATGAGAGCATGTACCAAGGAAATGCCACGTGAGCACACAAAAGAGGCAGCCATCTGCAATTCAAGAGGAGACTCTCACCAGAAATTCACCATGTTGGTACCTTGATCTTAGACTTCTAGCATTTGGAACTGTGAGAAAATAAATTCTGTTGTTTATGCCACCCGGCCCATCATATTTTGTTATAGCTGCCCAAGTTGACTAACACAGTTTCTCTAAATGTTTGTATTTTTGACAAACATATAATGATATATGACATTGACATGAAAACCTTTATCTATTATTCCTCTGGCTTAACCTAGGGAAGTGCTGATGAAAAGTTCTCTGCAAAGAAATTTAAGCATATCAAAATATCTATTATATTTCAACTTTTATATTAATAAGTAGCATGTGCATATTTTATCATATGTTAAATACATTATTATCAAATATATTTATGAACTAGAATGCAAAATGCCATACAAATTCAGAAAAAAATAAAGCAATATAACTGCAGGTTATTGTACTTGGCCAGTTTGTGTTTCTACAATAAGGCTCACCTGAGATTATAAGTGCTCAATGTTGTGGACAGGTTCTTGGAAACTTCAACTTTAAGTGAAAAAAAAGTATAGCAAAACCAATTTTACCACAGGCTAATTGACATAAACAAGAATTAAGTTCCTATGACATGTTTCTCATCACAAAAACATCACCAGCTTCTAAATAAAGACCTAAATAACTTCTAATATTAAACACTGAAATAAATATGAGATACATATATATTTAAGGAGGATTAATAAAAACAAGTAAGATAATTATTTATCCAGTTTTTGGTGGATCAGTGAGTGATAGCAATAGTCGTGATGGTGGGTTAAATCAAGGAATAAATACTTGCAAAGCAAAAACTATAAGGAGTACTTTTTACCAGCATAAAGTTTAAAAAAAAAAAGAAACAGCAATCACAAAGAGGGCAGGCTCGCTGACTGCTTTTGTAACACACTATTTATTGTCATGCATTTGCATAATTATCGTATGCCTTAAAATTTTTATTTTACATTAATTTGTATTCATTCATTTATTTTCCAACCCACTTATTCCAGTTCAGGGTCAAGGGTGGCCAGAGCCTATCCAGGCAGCTCAGGGGGCAAGAAACCATCCATGGACAGGATGCCATTCCATTATGGGGTGCACTCACACACACACCCATGCTCATTCAGACTGGGACCACATAGACACATCAATGAACCTGACATGCATGTCTTTGGGATGTGGGAGGAAACTAGAGCACCCAGAGAAAACATACATGGGGAGAACAGGGAAACTCCACACAGACAATGCTTCTGGATGGGAATCAATTTTTTTTCTCATTGACATTATAATTAAGTGAAGTTGAACAAAAGGATATTATCCAAGGACCTGCTGTATTTGTATTCTGCCTTTACTTGGAGGGCAGGTTTGAGGAAATTGCCATACACATTGATCCTTGCATATTTTTTTTAGTTTGATAAATGCACATTTGACTTTAAATTAGCTATTCATTAAACTTTATACAGTTTACTTCATAGTATAACCTCATCATCTTTGTTCAATCTTTTCTTGTCTTCATAAAGTAAGGTTAAAAACGAACATTTCATTAAATCTTAAAGATATGTAACTAAACTTTGATGGACTCAGCTGACAAATTTAATCACTATACAGACTAGTGCTCAAGGTGAGTAGACCCCTTAATGAAAGAGAATCCTGTTCCACGGTGATTGACCAAGGCATGTTTATTCTTGGCTTTGCCATTTTGTAGAGCAATGCAGTGACTCTCAATCCCTGGTTTGCATCACTTTGGGAGTTTCTAAAAATACAGACACATGTAAACAATGCTGAACCAATTGAACCAGAGTCTCTGGAAAGAGGGGATCCGGTCATAGGGCTTCTTAAAAGCTTCTCAAATAATTCTAAAGTGCAGCCAGAGTGAGATCAGCAGTCTTAGAGAGACTTAAGCTCCTATAAATTTGTTAATGCATTTTATATGCATGCTTCTTTTCCAAAAATGTCCAATTTCTCTTTCAAGCTCTTGAACTATATGATAGTAAATTATGTTGGCCTTTATAGCCAAGGGGCTGAAAATGATTCACAGAATTCAAAGGTATAGCATTTTAACACTTTACTAATTTAGTAACACATAAAAGTGAATCTTCAAATCAACAGGGAAGAAAAAATATGTACCAACTCTGACTGATCATTCCACAGAGCAAAGAATTTACACATCAATATTTTCAAGGAGACAAAAATCTAATAGGAACTGAAGTGATGAATCTGGTGCTTCAAAAGAGAATAGAAATTCTATGTTTGAAAGAAAGTGGGTTACAAAAATACACAGAAACATTCCAGTATTTGAAAAGAGATTTAACTTCAATTAAATAAGGAAAAATAACATTGAGGACAAACTAACAAACAAGATGGATGGGATATTTTGGCTAATATCCTGAAACATAACGCATTTTATGAAGGCTGTATTTATATAGTAACCATGAGAATTATTACTATAAGGCAGCAAGCTGCAATCATTAGGGCTCAAATTACCCTAAACCAGTGCTCACAAACATGATGTCCAGAAGAATCACATGGAGATCTTGTTAAAATGCAAATTTGGATTAAATCCACAGTGAGGCCTGAGAGTCTGCATTTCTAATGAGTTCCCAGAGGATATGGAAGTTGCAGTCCAAGAACTACAATTTGAGCAGTAAGTAGCAAGGCAAGCTAGTCATCTTTAAGCTATTGCCGATCAAATTATCTAGATATCAGACGAATGTAAAATGCAAAGTGCATTATGTGAATTTGCACTTTAAGAGCAGGGAATATTTGATTCCTTTTATAGCTTTGTTTCCACACCATGCCAAGGATCCAAAGGTTGACTGCTAGATAGAAATTAAAAAAACAGACTGACTCTAATTTGGGGCAAGTGGTGTTAGCACCATCACCACAGATAAGTTCTGGATGAAAATAGGAAAATGTGGAATTATGTTTTTTTAAAAACACAAATCATTCGCCATTAATACCAATGTAGGGTTATGCTGGAGAGCTGACTGCATTTCTTCCCAATTCCAACACCGTTAATAATGACATCAAGTAGGTGGCTTAAAGACATCAGCAAACACTTTGAATCAGGGCCTTTTAAGCTTTTTTTCTTCCCAGAGTGGTTTAACCAACATACTGTGGCATGTGGCTTCGGGCTTACCACATGATTCTGAAAGCAAAGAAATATGAGCATAATGTGAAACACAATAAGAAATGCAATGACCTTGGGGAGTGTCAAGATTGAAAGAGCACAGGGAGCTTAAGGAGGCTGACTTCTTTACCTAAACAATGACAATAGATATTGGAGAACAAAACCAAAGTATGGTACATACGAACGAACACAAAAGTCACAAATGGATCACATTCTAAATTTTATTAAACAATGATATGATTTTGAACGATGGGTTCTAATGGTTGTGCCACTGGTTCACAAATACTTGGTCTCAGGACTCCTTTAGTCTTAAAAATTTTTGAAGACCCTAAAGAGAATTAATTGATATAATTGTATTAATTGTTTATCTTGTCCAAAATTAAAGAAATATTTTTTTTATTTCAGCATATTATGGGAGTACAAATGTTTAGGTTACGTATATTGCCTTTACCCCACCCGAGTCAGAGTTTCAAGTATGTCTATCCCCCCAGACAGTGTGCACCACACCCATTAGGTGTGAGTATACCCATCCCTTCCTCCACCCTTCACTTGGCCAACACCAAATGAATATTGCTACCATATGTCCACAAAGTGTTGATCAGTTAATACCAATTTGATGGTGTGTATATGTAGTGCTTGTTTTTCCATTCTTGTGATACTTCACTTAGTAGAATGGGCTCCAGCTCTATCTAGGATAATCCAAGAGGTGATATATCACCATTGTTTTTGCAGCTGAATAGAACTCCATTGTATGCATATATTACATTTTATTAATCTACTCATGTATTGATGGGCACTTGGGTTGTGTTCACATCTTTGCAATTGTGAATTGTGCTACTATAAACATTCAAGTGCAGGTGTCTTTTTTATAGAATGTCCTTTTTCCCTTTGGGTAGATACCCAGTAATGGGATTGCTGGATCAAATGGCAGTTCTGCTTGTAGCTCTTTGATGTATTTCCATATTACTTTCCACAGAGGTTGTACTAGTTTGCAGTCCCACTGTATGAGTATTCAAATCTCTCCGCAACCATGCCAACATTTATTGTTCTGGGGCTTTTTGATAAAGGCCGTTCTCAATGGAGTTAAGTGGTATCTCATTGTGGTTTTGATTTGCATTTCCCTGATGATTAGAGATGTTGAGCATTTCTTCAAATGTTTGCTGGCCAATAGTCTATCTTCTTTTGAAAAGGTTCCGTTCATGTCCTTTGCCCACTTGTTAATGGAGTTGTTTGATTTTTTCTTGCTAATTTTCCTGAGTTCTATATAGATTCTATTTATTAACCCTTTAATGGATGTGTAGCATGCTAATATTTCCTACCATTCTGTAGGTTGTCTGTTTGCTCTTGTGATAGTTACCTTGGCTGTGCAGAAGCTTTTTAATTTGATCAGGTCCCATTTATTTATTTTTGTCATTGCTGTGATTGCCTTTGGGGTCTTCTTCATAAATTCTTTCCCTAGGCCAATCTCTGTGTTTTTCCAACCTTTTCTTCTAGAAGTCTTGAAGTTTCATGCCTAAGGTTTAAGTCTGTTATCCATTGTGAGTTGATTTTTGTGAGAAGTGAGAGATGTGGATCCTGTTTCAGTCTTCTCCATGTGGCTATCCAATTTTCCCAGCACCATTTATTGAATAAGGATTCTTTTCCCCAGTGTATATTTTTGTCTGCTTTGTCAAAGATTAGATGGCTATATGAGGATGGTTTTATATCTGGGTTCTCAATTCTGTTCCATTGGTCTATGGTCTTGTGTCTCTGTTCTAGTGTCAGTACTATGCTGTTTTAGTTACTATACCCTTGTAGTATAGCTTGAAGTCTGGTAAATTGATGCATCTCAATTTGTTCTTTTTGCTTAAGATTGCTTTTTCTATACAGGGTCTTCCCTCATTCCACATGAAGCATAGAATTATTTTTTATAGATCTGTGGAGGATGATGTTCATATTTTAATAGGGATTTCCTTGAATCTATAGATCACTTGGGTAGTACAGATATTTTAACCATGTTGATTCTGCTGATCCATAAGCATGATATGGTTTTCCACCTGTTTACATCTCCTGCCATTTTCTTCCTCAGTGTTTCATACTCCTCCCTATAGAGGTCTTTTACCTCCTTAGTTAAATATATTCCTATGTATTTTATTTTCTTTCTTGCTATTTTGAATGGTATTGAGTCTTTGATTTGACGCTCAGTTTGAGTGTTGTTGGCATATAGGAATGCTACTAATTTGTGCACATTGATTTTGTATTCTGAGACTTTGCTCAATTTGTTTATCAATTCCAATAAGTCTCCTGGCAGAATCTTTGGGGTTTTCTAGGTATAAGATCATATTATCAGCAAAGAGTGATAATTTTACCTCTTCTGCTCCCATTTGGATGTCCTGTAATTTCTTCTCTTGTCTGATTGCTCTGGCTAGGACTTTTAGCACTACATTGAACAGAAGTAATGATAGAGGGCAACCTTGTCTGGTTCCAGTTCTAAGTGGGAATACTTTCAATTTCAGTATGATGTTGGCTGTGGGTTTGTCATATATGGCTTTTATCATTTTGATGTAAGTACCATCTATGCCTATTTTGTTAAGCATTCTTATTATAAGATGGTGCTTAATTTTGTTCAATGCTTTTTCTGTCTCTATTGAGAGAATCATATGGTCTTTGTTTTTACTTCTATTTATGTTGTGAATTACATTTATAGATTTGCATATGTTGAACAATTCCTGCATCTCTGGGATGAAGCCCACCTGTTGTGATGGATTATTATTTTTCTTTTTTGACAGGCACCTGAATTGGGTTTTCTAGGAGTTTGTTGATAATTTTTACATCTATATTCATAAGGGATATTGGTCTGTAGTTTTCTTTTTTGTCATGTCCTTTCCTGGTTTTGGTGTCAGGGAGATGTTGGCTTCATAAAACATGTTAGTAAGGATTCCTTCCTTCTTGATGTTGTGGAATAATTTCTGCAGAATAGGCACCAGTTCTTCTTTGTGGGTCTGGTAAAATTCGGGTATGAAACCATCTGGTCCAGGACTTTTCTTTTAGGAAGACTTTTTATTGCTGCATCAATTTTGATACTTGATATTGTTTTGTTCAGGAATTCTATTTTTTCCTGATTGAAGCTACAGAGGCTGTATGTTTCTAAGAATTTGTCCATTTCCTCCACATTTTCAAGTTTATGTGCATGGAGGTTTTTATAGTTTTCATAGACAATATTTTGTATTTCCATGGTAACAGTTGTAATTTTTTCTTTTTCATTCCTGATTGAGTTTATTGGAGTCCTTTCTTTTTTGCTTCTCATTAATCTAGAAAGAGGTGTGTCAATTTTGTTTATTTTTTCCAAGAACTTTTTCTTTTATTAATCTTCTGTATAGTTTTTTCATTATTGATTTCACTTAGTTCTGCTCTGATCTTTGTTATTTCTTTTCTTCTGCTGGGTTTAGGGTCAGTTTATTCATCCTTTTCCAGTTCTTTCAGATGATTCACTAGATTGTTGATTTGTGATCTTTCTGTCTTTTCAATGTAGGCATTTATGGATATAAAATTTCCTCTCAGGACTGCTTTAGCTTTGTCACACAGATTTTGATAACTTGTGTCTCTTTTATCATTTAGTTCAAAGAATCTTACTTTCCTCTTTAACACAATATTTGTTCAGCAGAAGGTTGTTTAGTTTCCATGTCTTTGTGTAGAGATGAGAGTGTCTGTTGGGAGTTGATTTCTAATTTTATTCCACTGTGGTCTGAGAACATGTATGGTATAATTTCTATGTTTTTAAATTTGTTGAGACATGATTTGTGTGTGTGTGTGTGTGTGTGTGTGTGTGTGTGTGTGTATGTGTGTGTTGGGTATCCATTTTCACTTGCATATTGAGTTTTCTTACAATCCATGTTCAAAATTCTTCTATCATTTCAGTGTTCTGAATTTTGTTTATATCCATTGGTAGAGAACTGGTGTTCCCCGTTGGGGGTGTGCTTTCAGTTTGATTCTCCATCCTTCCAGAGTTCTATTGCTAATTTCTTCTCATCTGGAGCAGCTATTGTTTTTTACCTTGGATTTTTGTTTAGAGAATGACATGCCCAGTTTAGTCTCTAAACCAGTAGGTGGTGCTTGTGGGTGAGATTCAACCACACACTGTGTGATGAGTTAGTACATGCAATAACAGGGCATGTAAAGTGACCTCCCTGTCATTAGGTGGCACTTGCCTAGAGCAAGCTACAGTGTTGTTTATGGTTCCTGTAACCAGCTCTCATCCTCTAGAGAAGCACTCTAGTGCCTCAGGTAGTGAGAGGCCCTGGGACTTCCAGGTGTGTCCTTATTCTCCATCTCAGTGGGGGCATTTTGGGGAGGGAGGCAGGGTGGGGGGAGATGGTTAGTCAGGTTAACCTGCCCTCAAGCTCCACAAATGCTGTTAGCAGGGGTCAAAGTTCTGTTTTCTGCTTCTGGAAAAATATGCCAGGGAGGGGCTGAAATGGCCCCACTCAGTCAAAAAGTCTGTGTGTGGAGATGAGGCTGTCTGAGACCCCTAGTCTGGAGCAGGCCTTGCTCTTTTCCACCCTCCCTTATTCCATGGTTTCTCCTGGGCCTCTTCTAGCAGGCAGGACCTCAGGCCACCTGATCTCCCCTGACTGTGATGTGAGCTGGGAGGGTCCCTGCCCAGGATCACAGCCTGAGCTGGGAACTCAGCCCTCCCATGGGAGGAGGGTTGCCCCTCCAGCAGCAAGCTACAGCTGGGACCCACTCTGATCTGCCCTGAAGGCACACACACCTCTCAGTAGGCTCGTTCACAAATATCCCTTCTGTGCTCCCAGGCAATGTGATTGAGACCTGGGTATATGTGATGTGGCCTGCAGGGCCGTCCCCCAGTTCCCAGAGATCAATCCCTGACCCTAACAAGGAGAAGAGTGCCGGTCTCAAGTCACCCATGGGGTGCCCAAGCTGGATCAATGTCTTTCAGCCTTGGGGTTTGCCCCACTCTACTGGAGTCACCAGGCAAGAAGTACCTGGGAGCTGGCAGGTAGGGAGCTCACAGTCCAAGTACCCCTCAGTCCACTGTAAGGCCCCAAAAGGAAAGGTCCCATTCCCTGTGGATGTCCCAGGGTGGTGGCTAAATTGTTTCTCTTGTCAGCCACAGGGAGGGGAGAAGAAGGAGAGAATGAAGCAATATGGTTCCTGCCAAATGGCTCGGATCTGTGGGGTGGGAGGTATGGTATCCCCAGGAAGCTGGCAGCCCGGGAGCTGTGAGCCTGTCCACAAGAGGCTCACAGCTCACTCGTGGCAGCCATCTCTGGGCTGGTGTTGGCAGGTCTCTATAGCAGCTCAAGGGCCCATCCGCAGTCCAACATACAAGAGGGGAAATTTAGCCATTCTACCCAGGCTTCTTGCTGGTCTCCAAGCCTCTCAGGGGTTAGACCCTGCCACTGCCTTTCTCCTTCCAGTTCTGCTCCACAAGTTCTTCCCGCGGAGTCTCTTGTAGTTTTAGGAACCCTTCCTTCTGACCCTTGTCCGATCTGTGTTTGTGTGCCTGTTTGGTTTTTTTCCCTTTCATCTAAAATCTTTCTTTCTTGCTAATACACTTTGGCTGGAGGTTTTTCTTGCCCACAGTCTTGCCTCCAGCTCCCAAAACTAAAGAAATTTTAAACTTTTTATGTATTAAGTTACTTACAAGTAACAGTAATAGACCCACTGCATATTAATATTAAAGAATTGTCAGCCAGGCGCGGTGGTTCACACCTGTAATCCTAGCACTCTGGGAGGCTGAGGTGGGAGGATTGCTTGAGCTCAGGAGTTCCAGACCAGCCTGAGTGAAAGTGAGTCCCCATCTCTACTAAAAAAATAAAAATTAGCTGGGTGTAGTGGTGTATGCTTATAGTTCCAGCTACTCAGGGGGCTGAGGCAGGAGGATTGCTTGAGCCCAGGAGTTTGAGGTTGTTGTAAGCTACAATGATGCCACTATACTCTATGCAGGGAGACAGAGTAACATTCTGTCTCAAAAAATAAAAAAAAAGGAAATTGAACCCTCACTTCACTTCCCCACCTCATATTAAATAAAGAAAAAAATTATATTTATGAACAGTAACTATGCTTTTAGAGACAAACAAAATGTAATGAGAATTGCATTGTTTTTGCAAATCTGATGTCAGGTTTAATAAGAGATAGCTGGATCCTCCTATTTGCTTCTGCCTTCATTGTGTTGCTCTACATTGTTTTGATTGAAGTATAAGAAGAAAATCTGTTCATACACAGAGAAGTACTAATTGGAAGAGGGAAAAATATTTTAGTAACCTTTTCAGAAGATTGTGAATATTTTTCTTTGATTCTCCTCCAGAACTTGACAAGTGATAGTTTCAGATTCAGCCTTGCAACTAACCTTTAAGAAGCCGTATCAATGAACTTTCTGTACCGTTACATTAAAATGCATCAGTTTATCTTCTGGGTTATACTCTTTTACTCATTGCTTTGGTCATTTGGAAAAAATGGTTCTACTGAGTTATACAAAGCTTCCGTAGTTTGACACGTTTCATCTGTGATATCAAAAAAATCACATTCATTATCACTCCTGATCTCATTAAAAAAAGTCAGAAAGAATTGGAAAGACGTCAAGCTCATTGTGGCAAACGGAAGTTTTTCACAATTCTAATTTTCACTTTAAAGTTCAAATAAATTCATTGGCAAAGATACTGTAATTGGTTTTCCTTGAAATGACAGGCTCACATCATTCATTCTGAGAAAATGTCTACCAAATACGCAAGTCTCAATAACCATAGTCTGTCAGGTTTTCTTTCAGGAAAAGATGAAGTTCAACTAAAAAAGAAACTAGTCTAGGTCACAGCACAGTGCTTTTCCTGAAGACATTCCAGGAATTATGTGTGCAGCATAAGTGCTTTAAACATTCCCCCTGCCCCCATTTTCTCATATAGAGTATTAAAAAGGCATGTACTAAAGGGTTGATATTTAATAAAATTAATAATATCTACTGCTTTATCAAGGACATCCCTAAGGGAAACAGACTTTTTTTTTTGTACTGAGAGTGTCTAATGGTGAAAAATACAATGACTACCAATACACTTTGGTGTCAGCAAGTTGATTTTCTGCCGCAGTGCTACCAGTTTTATTCACTATTGTTTTGCATTGTCAGTGCAAGTGCCAACATGGTTAAAAAGACAAATAACACTTTCACGTTATTGTGAAAATACTCTTGACTTCATGTGCCACCCGAAATAGTCTTGGGATCCCAGAGATCTGAGCCTACACTTAGACTTAGAAAAATCGCTGCTTTACGATATTGTATTAGCACAGGATTTTGTTGTTAGAGTAAGATCATAATGATATCGTACCATATATGTTTATACTGTTTATAGTATTTTGTAGTTTACTAATAGTCCTTACACATATTGTCTTATTTTAATCCCAGTACAATATTATAAAGTTCCCAGCCCATTCTTTTAGTACATAAAAATAATAATGCAGAAACTGAAATAAAATGTCTAGAAGTACAGATAGGATACAGATAAAGTGGCTCTTCTACCACGTCAGACAGACAGGCTCTACAACAGCAATGATGTTGTCGCTTGAGTATCTCCAGTGGGGATAATAAGACATTTTTCTGGAAGCTTTCATTGCCTTTTGCCCCTGTTATTTAATAACACACTCTTTGCTGTGGCTTCCACCCATTATGCTGTGTTCTGTCCTTATCAACCAATAAAACAATTGCTATTTAGCTGCTGTAATTGTAACATACCTTTATAGACTTGAGAGTTACCGTGTCTTCCTTCAGTCTTATTTACTCTTTTCAACAGGGCCAACTTCCCTAAACTCTGCTCAATGTTCAGAACTCTGTAAGCTTTGCAGATTGTGAATTTTGTGGTGATGTATATATCTTCCCCCACCTCCCATTTTTAATCTGTATAGTCCAAATTTTCCTTGAAAACAATAAAATTGCCATGTGAATAATAAGCACTTTGATTTGAGGGCTCAGAATAAATTCATAATATCACCTTGTAGAAAATGTTGTGCCCTTAGAAACATAAAATTAAGAGAAAAGATAGTATCTTTGATTTTTCACAGTTACTTTATTATATGTAGATTATTATATTATGGTACATCTAAATATGTAAGAAAATTAATTATAAGCTAATATTAATTATGTGTAAATAATATGTAGGCATATACATATAGATGACTAAATGCTTATATTACATATATATTAATACCTCACCTATGTGTATGAATGTATGTATATTTTTGTATTGTTGGAATTTCTAAGCATTTTTATGTCAAAAATAGCTAATTAGCTAAGCTTAATTTTTGTACACTTCTTACTTTTTAAAAAATAGCATTTAGTGGCTCATGATTATTTGAAACTAATCAAGTCCTTTTACATCTATATTGTCATTTGGTGCCCTGAACAACTCTGTGAAGTAGGAAGATGTTGCAGTTATCGTTCTCCGCTTCTTTATTATCAGGGACTCTAACTGTATGCAGAGCAGGAATGTGACAGTTTAACAGTTTTATTTCCCAGCCTCCTTTGAAGCTAGAAGCGGCCATGTGATATGAATATGGTCTTATCACCAATAAGTTGTGAGTGGAAGTTGGCTGGGGATTTCTGGGAAAGTTTGGTTTGCTGAAGTAGGTTGTCTCATTTTCCTTGTGTCTTTCTCCTTCTTCTTCTTGATATGTGGATGTTACAACTGAAGGCCTAGCAATTGTCTTGTGAGCATGAGGGAAAAGCCATGGGAACACAGTGATCTTGGCCTACACAGTGATCTTGAGCTACTCTGTCTGCTCCAGCTTATCCCCACGGTTCTTACGTGATTAAAAAGTTAAGCTCCCTTTTTGTTACATGCTGCTGAATATATTCTAGATGACATAGAAGTATAAAAACACTATACAATTATGAATTTATTTATATAGATCAGAAAACTGTAGCTGATTTGTTTTGCAGCCATGTAATTTGTACAGGGAAAATCTCAACTGGGAAGGGAAATATCAATCCCATATATTTAGAAGACATAAAAAATTCATCAAATAATTATGTGACATAAGGAATCTGTTAACCTTAAATCTGATCTCTTTATGAAATAAAACTCTGATTTCCACAACTTTTCTGCTCTCCTTTCATTTGCTTTTTTAAAGGTAAAATTATATACCAGGAATTCCTGACATAAATAGTGGTTTAAGAATAGTGAGTTTGTGATATATAGCACCCTAGCTTTCCCATCAATATTTCTGACCCATCTTCCTTTGGACTATTTGGTCTTCTTCAAACTCACCATTACCTTTCATTCTACTGGAAATTTTCTTATGCAGATCTTTCTTGTGCTTCAAAATCCTCTTATTCATTATCATGACCTAGTTTAAGCATCACTTTCCTGGGGAAACATTTTCAGACCTACCCCAGTGTATACACCTCTCTTCCAGTAGTTACCACCATATGTTTCTTTTAGATTAGTTGTGGAATTATTAACCCTGGGCTTCTTAGATGTCTAATTCAAGTACATATAGTTAGTTATTCCGTAATGCCAATGCTATCACACACCCAGCACATAGAAGATGTTCAGTACATGTTTTCTAGGTTTTTCTGGGGAAAAACGAACAGAATTAAGGATTGAAAATAATACTACTTTCATGTTCTTAGATTTGATAATCAATGATTTTAAATAGGTCATGGAATCAATTTAGTGGGTCAAGAGCACTTTACAAAAAAGAAATAGAATAGAACATAAAAGAATGCAATAAAATAGAAACATCAGAGTACATCATATACTGTTTTGTCAATTAATATAGTCATTTATTTATCCATTCAATAAGTCTTTCTTGAGTACATGCTATGTTCCCTGTACTAGTTTGTGTGTGCAAATATATACTACATCATGTAAAATGCATTGTGGTTGCAGTCTCATTTATTTCAAATATCTGAGATTCTTCCTAGGTAAGCCACTCCTTGTGGGATAATTATATTCTATGCCCCAATGACATTGGATGTGGCTACCTGACTTGATCTGGCCAATTAAAATGAGGGGAAGTGATGTGCACTACTTCCAAAGAGAAGCTTTAGAAGCCATCTTATGCTTCCTTCCACCTTTGCTCTTTTTCCTTTGCCATAAATCTGATAATATCCCAGATAGAATCTCATCCGTAAGCCTGGGTCTCAGAGTGAAAATGACATAGAGCAGAGCACTACTTAATCCCCAGTGGACGTATTTTAGGAGCAAGAAACAAAACTTAAAAAAAAAATAGAGAGAGAGAAATTTCACAGGCATTTGTTATAACCACCTAACTTTGACTAAAGTGACTATTATCTGCTGGGCAGGTACTGAATAAGAGCTCCTTGGTATGAGGGGGAAAGAGTGTGAATGTGAGTGTATGAAGGAAAAAGTAGAAATATTCTTTTTCTGAGCAAGGAAAAGCCAGTTAGAGGGAATAAGGTATATATAAATATCAATGTGTATATAAGGGTATGGCAAATTCATACTTTTGTGATGTTAATAGTCATGGGGAATACTGCCACCACCAATGTTAATTATGGATGTGTGCAAATAAACAAAGTGAGAAGGAATAAAATCCTAAAATTGGCATCTGTCTGCATATAAAAATTCAGAAAAAAGTGATTTATATGAACATTTTGCCATCTTTGACTACTTACCTTTCAGCACAATTACTATGTATATCATTAGAAATGTATCGGAATAGCTTTGTTGTTTTATTTGATTACCAAAATAAACTCTAAACAAGTGCAATCAGTTTTCATAGTTTCCGGCTTATTGCCTGTTCTTATGGTCACAACATAAGAAAAAAATTTTAAAACACAGTTGTCAGTCCTAAAGATTTTCTCTCAATGTATAAAAACATGTATTTCTTCTTTGAAATGGTAATATATGTCTACATAAAATGTTTACTGGGTCAAATTTTTCTACCTGACAGGTCTTCAAATTTGGCCTGATGTAAGAATTCAGTTAATGAAATTTAAAGCAGCCTCATTTTCATCTTTTCAAAAACATAACTATGTATTAGAAATCTGGCAAAGGCTTCTGTCAAATTGAACTATTGAACTCAGGGCAGTAAAAGTCCCTCCCCAGGCAAGAGATTTAAATCATTTTCAAAGTTAATTCCCTGCTCCCAGATGGAGAACAAATCTAATCGGGTTTACTTCATTCTTTGGATGAACAGGAAAATGTCACTTGCATACTCAAAAAGGAAAAAAGAAAATCTTAGGGAAGGCAGTCTCCAATCCACATCCCAGCAGACAAAGGAGGTAATTCTGAAATTGAATGTATGGGGTCAATTTGAATCTAAAAGCAGATCTGAATTTAATCTAGACAAATCTCTAAGCTTACTTCCAACCTAGTTCTGTTCAGAGATGCCTGTTTACACCTGAAATACACACATATGTCTTTAAAATTGTTCACCTTAAAGGGGAAAAAAAGGTTTCTAGTTCTAAAAAGGAATCTGAGTAAACTGCCTGAGCTTCATAAATGAGGTTAGAACCTTTCAAAGCCTTATGGATGGTAGGGGAATTTTGCTCCTTATCAGCTCTAGCTTAAAAATAAGATGAGTTGACTTTTGAATCACAGAATAATGGGACTATAGAAAAAATAAAATAAGTATTCTTGTTCTTAATTTAACAGTTGCTGGATTCTATTTAAAGGTTTGTTGCTATGTACCTGTTAGAAAAGATTCACATCTGCTGTCAGGCAGACATTGAATACCTACATCTCTCAATTGTGTTCTTTCTTGGTAACAAAAGCGTCCTCAGCAAAGAAGCAGGTATATCATTAGATCTTCATGAAACAGGTTAACACCGGCTGGGCTTCTCTCAATTTACCCTGCCCCATATAGCTTTGCACGGCTTCCAATGAAAAGGAAAGCGGTAGGTTAGAATCTAACATGAAGACATTTTCCTAAGTAACCTCTTTAACTTTATCTCTGCTTAAACGACAAATTACCCTCAAAGTCAACAACACAAAGAAATCTTTTCTGAATGGGTTGCAATGGACCTGATAATATTAAAGTCCACCTTTTATTATGAATATAAAATAGGAAAACAGTTATGTCTCAAAATTGATGGTAAATGGCTGGGCGCGGTGGCTCACGCCTGTAACCCTAGCACTCTGGGAGGCCGAGGCGGGCGGATTGCTCGAGGTCAGGAGTTCGAAACTAGCCTGAGCAAGAGCAAGACCCGTCTCTACTAAAAACAGAAAGAAATTAATTGGCCAACTAATATATATAGAAAAAATGAAAAGAGCATGGTGGCCCATGCCTGTAGTCCCAGCTACTCGCGAGGCTGAGGCAGGAGGATTTCTTGAGCCCAGGAGTTTGAGGTTGCTGTGAGCCAGGCTGATGCCATGGCACTCACTCTAGCCTGGGCAACAAAGCGAAATTGTCTCAAAAAAAAAAAAATTGATGGTAAAGAAACGATCTTTAAAGCAGGATTTCATTCACTTTTTGTTTTACACGTCAGTTCAGGTTGCAGGATTCCAATTTATTGTTTAAAGTAAGTCTATTTGTCTTACTCTATTGCTTAATCCAAAGCAGGTCCAGATAATTAAAGGTAAATTGTCTGTATCTAATGAACAGAATACTCAAAATCAATAACATAAAAATTGACAGATTAAAAAGAGGACGTCAAGGAATCTATTCTCTTTTTCGAAACACGATGTTGCTCAGTCAAAACAAGGTAAGTTTTAAGGCATGACCATCAGCCATGAATCATTGCAAGCACTTCTACTGAGATAAGAATACCAAAGCAGAGAGAGGGAAAAGTAACTTAGTGCTATTGAGAAACTTATTCTGTGCCAGTAGAAAAGGAAGGACTTTTTTGCCTGCATAATTTCATTTAATCCTTATCGCAATCTCCATTATACCAAATTCTGAGAGAGTGGCTCCAGGGCCACAAAATAATGAATGGTGAATGCAGCCCAGCTCCTTCATAAAGAGCACTTATAATTTGTATGCTATCATACATTTTTTAAGGAAGCCTAAAATAGAATATTTTGCTATTCTAGAAAAGCCAAAAGTACAGAAATGGAGAGAACATATTGAAAAATTACCTCATGAAAAATATGTGCTCAGATGTGTATATCATTATTAGCACTATAAATTAATTAGTAAACTTGAGCCCCTGCACTTGGGGTTCTAATTCTGGATCTGCATTAGATTATGGTAGCTCCTCTAAGTTTTTGGCTGCAAAATAAGTTCTTTCTAGTCCATCTAATTAATACAAAATATTTATAGCAATACATAGAACAAAAGTATGAGAATAAATTTTTAACTTTTAAACTTTTATTATTGAACTGTAAGAGTATAAGATTTTGAGCAGATAACGTTGCAGAAATAATGACAAAAGTTCTTCATCAGTCAGTAGAGTGGAAGCCCTTTATGACATCAGATAATCTCACTATGTATGTTACTTCAGATTTTTACTGTGTATAGTTTAATATTTTGTTCCCATCTACAGCCATGTAATCAAAACAGTATTTGAACGGATATGATTTCAACTAAAAAGATACCTAAAATTTGGCATGAGCTTTTTCACAAGTAGAATCTGGCCACCAATCATGACTAAAAATGAAAAAATAGCT